TATATAGTGGTGCACTGAACAAAATGATTATAAATAGGTAGAATTTAAACTAATCAACAAATGTTGTAATGTTAAACTTCATTTGCTTGTGTTTGCTTGCAACTGTTAAAAGGTTAAGAGGGATTGTGTCATTTATGAGAGTAAGAAAAGGAGGGAAAATGATCAATACTGTTACGCAAGAGCGAGGTGAGAGTTAGACGACTCAAACACACTATTCCATAGTTCATTCAGGACGATGATGAGAGACAGGAAAGAGTCGCTCTGTTATTTTATTTTTACATCTGAAACCTGTTGATGATGAAAGAGCGCAGACGATAAAGCTGTCGTACTCACCGCTGACACAGACAGGACTTCAAACCAGCGCAGGATACCAGGCAGCTTATAGGCCGTTACATAAGTCGTCCTTTCAATCCACATGTTCTTTTGGAAAGAAAAGAAAAGCAAAACATTAAGTGAACATTTAGCAGAGTGAAAGCGTTTAGAAAAGGGCCACATTTCAGTTACAGAGTGTCCGCAATTCATTCCCACATTTTTTCCCCTCCAATTTAGGCCTCCATTTACTGGATTTTAATGGATGTTTACCAATAGCACAAGCGAGTGGGGGCCGTGGGGGTGGGACAAACTTTCTGTTTTACTATAATGGCACGGTGTTCTCAGGTTTGACATCCTGCTGTAATAACTCAGCGTGAGCTCTCCTGAAGCCATCTTAAAAGGCTTTTAGACAAACGGCCATTAGAAAAACAGCTCCGAGTCTTTAAATGAGCACTTTACACATGGAAGAACAAAAAAGCAGCGTTTTTCAGGCATATAGAGGAGCTGAAGGAAACTCACTGAAAACTCGTTGTCTGGATCTTTCTCTCCCTTCCGGACCGGCCGTGAATACTGGAACTTCTGCACCTCGTTCACGGTGTAAAAGCTGGAGATGAGAAGGTCAATGATTCATTGGTGTATTTGAGAGGGTCAAGAGGCTGGAGATGCATGTGTGCATTTCAAAGAGAGACTCGATGATGACCAATAACATCCGTGCACATCAAGGACGCTCTTGAAGGAGCAGAAAATAAACTCATGAACTATCGTTTTTTATTTTGAATGGGATGAAATCTTTCAGCCTTGCACTCATCACGACAAATGCTATTTATAGGGTTTTACACATCTCTTGCATGTTTTTACTACCGGAAAACCAGCCATAAGTGTCTTTTTTTTCCTGAAATTAAGGTTCATACATTGTAAAGTCTGAATAAATACGCTGTTCACGATTTTTGTAAATGACACAGTATTTACCTGTAATATGAAGTGCATTTTACTGTAGGACAGTTATGCAGTATGTTACTATATCTTAAAAGTGCAATGTGAAAAATGCAGCAATGATACGATTCTGTAAATCCATGTACAGGTATATCTATCTATATCAGGGGTGGGCAAACTCGGTCCTGGAGGGCCGGTGGCCTGCATAGTTTAGCTCTGACTCTAATCAAATACACCTGAACATGTGAATCAATGTCTTTAAGATCACTAGACAATTGTAAGCAGGTGTGTTTGATTAGAGTTGGAGCTAAACTGTGCAGGACACCGGCCATCCATCTACAGAGTTTGCCCGCCCCTAATCTACAGTATTACAGGAGTTTGGAGTTAGTATATTAGAAGTTTGCCCCTAATATACAGTATACATATATATATATATGTATGTATGTATGTATGCAGTTGAAGTCAGAATTATTAGCCCCCTAATACTGTAGATTAGGGGTGGGCAAACTCGGTCCTGGAGGGATACAGGGAGATATATATACATTTATTATTTCACTGGATATTTTAAGATATTAGATATTTTTCAAGTGACATTTAAAGGCTTAACAAGGTTAATTCGGCAAGTTAGGGTAATTAGGCAAGTAATTGTATAATGATGGTTTGTTCTGTTGACAAGCAAAAGAAATATTGCTTAAGGGGGCTAATAATATCGGTCTAAAAATTGTTTTAAAAACTGCTTTTATTTTAGCGAGAAGAAAAAATATAGGAAATACTGTGAGCAATTTCTTGCTCTGTTAAACATCATTCGGGAAATATTTGAAAGAGAAAGAAAGAAAAGAAATTTACAGGAGGGCGAATAACATTGACTTCAACTTTGTGTGTGTGTATATATATATATATATATTTATACACATTATATATATATATATTATATAGATATGTCCCTTAATGTGCCACAGCGAAATGAACCGCCAATTTATCCAGCACTTGTTTTTGCAGCAGATGTCCTTCCTGCATATATATATATATATATATATATATATATATATATATATATATATATATATATATATATATATATATATATATATATATATATATATATATATATATATATATATATATATATATATATATATATATATATATATATATATATATATATATATAT